GGCAATTAATTTTTGCAATATCGTTCTTAATTCGTTGTAACTTGTAGGTACTATCGCGATGGAGTGTTGACCGACGATTTAATTCAGTGGTTAAAACCGGTCTCTTTTTAGGCGTAGATGACGTTACCACTGGAAGCAAAAAGAGTGTTCAATATGCCGTTCTGCGTGGTAATTCACTTTGATCGGGAACAAGGAAATAATGTTAAAATTCAAAGACGGGACAGCCAAATCTGACCTTGTTGGTATTTAGGTTTTAGAACTAAAATTTACTTTTGAAATTAAATATACTAATAAATTGTGCACGACAACATTTTTAGAAAAATTAAATAGTAAGTATGTAATAGTCACATGTAAGCCATGGTTATGTTCGAATAAATGGAATGGACAGACAAAGAAATATTATTTTATCGATCTTCCTTGACTATGTAATGATTTTACAGCTAACAACAACTTCTTAGCAATCGCCAACTTAGCCACACTGCGATAATTGGTCGCTCATCTGTAGTGGATAAGCCGAAATCTACCCCACCTCGCTGTCTGCAGATCAAGACCTATAAATTTGTCAATTCGAAAGAGATGTCTACTATTTATTATTAACTGTATCTAATTACACGGTCTACATTTTATACTGGCAACTATAGATGCCTGTAAACAAAATGAAGACTTTTTTTTCATTTTAAACGACGACACAAGTCCGTTTGATCTGCTTATGCATTAATTTCGAGGATTTAGCTATTACTAAAACGGATTCCTAGAACTGTACACACCCACTGAACCACGCAGCAGCGTATTTAGGAATTGCTAAAGGGAGGGGATGAGGCACTGAATGACATATGTAATAGTGGGGGGCTTTGCCCCCCACACCCCCATTTGAGGTTTCCTATACTTACTCACTACATAATGTACAGTTTACATAACATTATTAACATTTAATACCAATTATTAATCATTAGTTTTAGTTTATAACAATAACATATTGATTATTTTTCATTAGATTTGAAATAAATTTCAATTTTTAATTTACACTCAAAAAATATTGTTAGACAATTCACTCTTTAACAATTACCATCCTACTATCACCACCTATGTCCAATAACACAATAATACATTTAGTATAAGAATAATAGTATCATAAATATTTATTTTTACTATAATAAATAATAATAATTACATACTCATACTTTCATTACTTTATACTTATAATACAAAATCAATTTCTTTGTTTTATTGCTAGTTCATCAATTACTTCGTCAATACTTGTGTCTACTGTATAGTAGGTAGATTTTAATGTTCTACGTTTAAATGTAAATAATATTAAATATTAGTTATTATGTTACATTATGTTATACAAATAAAATTACTATCAGCTCATTCAAATCATTTTTCGTCTAAAAATACCAATGTCGTTTTTCCATACAAATAAGATAAGAATTTGTATCACCAGTTTACAGTTTAACAAACATAAATCAATACTGGGAATTTTGTTTAGTCATAGAAATTCGCTAGACAGTTGTAGACTAAACCGGTGTGAAAAATAATGCACCGGGATGTTTGGACCATATCATTTACATGGTTCATTATCCCGCACCGGGATAATGCGGGATAATTTTAAACCGGTTTAGTCTAGCGAATTTCCACGACGTTTTGCTGACTTCACGTGAATAGGACTATAGCCACCCCCTGCCTTGACTACAGTCGTGTCTAGCTGGTACGTCGAGTGCAGCCCGCATTTATACAGAAAACGCACCATTTAGGACATTGCGAAGTTTGAGTAGCGTAATAATAACAGTCTATTAATAACCTTATAATTGATTTTTTTCTTACTGTATGTACAAAAATGAAAAATACATAGTAAATACTAAAACAAATTGACGATTCAGTGTCTATTATATAATATATTATGTATACTTGAATCCTTTAATAATAGAAAAAAAAATACCAAGGGGGGGATTGATCCCCCGAATCCCCCCCGCAAATACGCCGCTGGAAATATTGTGTTTAATATTATTACACATTAATAAAGAAGTGTTTATCGGAAGTCAAGTCGTTGCAAGTATGTGAGGTGCACTAACAACAATGAACTCTATTGTAATTTGTAGCTGAATTGCCTATACAATGCGCCGCGTTACCTTAATTTTGTATTTCATTTTTTTTTCAAATATATTAAAACTATATTATTATAATATTATAATTTATGATTTACCGGAAAAATGATCAAAATGGTAGAAATAAAGAACAATAACGTCTTAACCGTGCTGAGTGTGCTGAGTCTAAATCAGGTAAACACATTTTAGAAAAACAAAAAAAAATTTAGAAAAAAATATACAGTATAGGAAAATAAATTAAAGAGTTCAAATTTAAATGTCCAGATGCTTAAATAGAAAAAACAATTGACAAATGATTAGCTCATTAAAGAATTATATAACAAAAGATATCAGATTATCAGTGTTTAAAAATACTCTACAAAAAATTCAACAAATAAAAAAATTGACTAGAGAGTAGGAACAAAAAAAAAAATTAGAAAAATGTGTACAGAAAAAACACCCATTAATGAGTTCAAACTAAAAATTCCAGTTCATAAACAAAACAAACTATTTGAAATAATAAGTTCATTAAAATTAGTATATTCCTATGGCACTTGCAGATTAAAATATTCAAGTCCATACAAAAAATTCAAATAGAGTCAAATTCCTAAAAAAAAAATTGAAGGGGAGTGTTGGCGCCCGCAGGCAAATGCATTTTAAAAAACCAAAAAAAAAATTAGAAAAAATTATACAGTAGGAAAACACATAAAAGAGTTCAATGATTATCTATTTGAAGAATGATAATACAAAAGGCACCTGGATGTTATCAATATTCCAGTCTGTGCAAAAAATTCAACTAGACTCAAATTCCTAAAGAAAAATGTGAAGGGGAGTGTTGGCGCCCGCAGGCAAATGCATTTTAGAAAACCAAAAAAAAAATTAGAAAAAATGATACGATAATAAGGCATATTGAAGAGTTCAAACTAAAACGTCCAGAATCCAAAACAGAAAAAACAATACTGCCAATGATTAGCTCATTAAAGAATGATGATACAGAGGGCACCTGCTTGTTAACAATATTCAAGTCTATACAAAAAATTCAACTAGAGTCAAATTCCTAAAAAAAAAATTGAAGGGGAGTGTTGGCGCCCGCAGGCAAATGCATTTTAGAAAACCAAAAACAAATTTAGAAAAAATTATACAGTAGGCAAACACATTGAAGAGCTCAAATTAAAATGTCCAGAATCTTTAACAGAAAAAAATCTAACGATGATAAGCTCATTAAAGTATGATAATACAAAGGGAACCTGAAGGTTATCAATAAACATGTCTGTGCAAAAAATTCAACAAGAGTAAATTAGAAAAAACGTTTGCCCTCGACCCAAGCTCCCCCCCCCCCCACTAGTTACGGCTATGCCGCTGAGTTCCTGTGAATAAAATACTTAAATAATGTAGGTACATAGTTACTTCTAAAATTACAAAAAATAATTAAATATTTTCTCCGGTATTATGATGAAGTGCATAATATGTCTCCAGCTTCAAACTATACAAGTTCTCAGCACACATTTGTCACTATTATGTAACAAACTTGAATTTATTATAATTAATAGTTATGAACTAATATAATAACTAAATTTTGAAACATTTTATATTCAAATTTACTGGAACAACTTTTACTTATATTATTATATTCTGTAGGTATACCCACACATAATACCATTTTATAATTCAATGTTTTCAGCAAAAATTAATTCAACCTATTATTTTACTATTTTAAATATTAAACTTAACAAGAAAATATTATTGTAAGATCAATACATTCTTTTGCTTCACTCATATTCTAAAATTTAAAAATAAAAAAAGTGGGTAAGTGGATGTCAGTCTGCTGTACAGTAGGCTACAAGTGGGCCACTGTATAATGGCTAAACCCACTTATTTACCTATTCAATTTTAATTCAATGGTATAATATCATTGAATACAAAAAACGATTCTGAGAGGAGACGGTTTGTCAGTTAATGATATATTCTTATTACTTATTATTTATTAATTATATTTTATATATAAGGTAGCCGGGAAGTTGATATAATATTATTAAATAGCAAAAATTAAATAAAATCGGTATTCTTGGTTATTATTGGTTAATATTTATTTTTGTCCAACAAAGAATATAAAATAACTATCAAAAACTGTTTTATACTGTTAAATTTTTTAGTTGCTGCATAATTTATAACATGGTTACATTTACTGCTTACAATTTTTAAATACATTTTTGTTCCTCCGGACATATTATTAATTGTCTGCAATACTCAGAGAAAAATTTAATAACTAAACATTCTTTCTTCAAAAAGTTCTTTTTTCTTATCCATATATTTTATATGATCAACATTGTTTTTAAACTTTTAAATAACCAAACGTTTTTAAAATGTAGATAAAATATTATATTATTATTTTATCTTTGCTTGGGTATTTGAACGAATACAAGAATCGAAGAATCATTAAGTGACCAGTGACTTATTTCTTAGCTATTCATTATTGTTCAATGTGATTACTTATTAGTTTCAATGCAAATGCTAATATATATTAACTTATTCTGATTTAATAATACATTCCCAACTATGATGAAATAAACATTTTTTTTTTTACTAGGAATTTAACTATCCTTACATTTTATATTAAATATAGTTAATAATCAAATTATTGTTACATCTGTACATAATAACTTAATTATTATAATTTGTGTATTCATTTAGAATATCAAAGATAAATCAATTTAAAAAATTTCATTTCAGTTCTTTTCTATTTTTAATCATTTTTAATTGTACACATAAACTAAAATAATTGAATAGGAACAATGCCTAAAAATATATAAAATAAAATCAATTAATTTTGAAACTCTTACATTGTTTAGTTTATGCCCAAAGTAATGCATTAATCAAAAAAACACCAAATGTTTAAACATACAATTGTTTTATATATTATCTTTTTTCATCTCGTTTAACAGCACAGCCTGGACACACATGTAATGTATTATGCACATAAATGTCACAGCCATCACAGTAATGTTTTTTACAAGATTCACAAAAGTATACATTTTCAGCAGGGACCTTTATTCTCTTTCTGCATCCATAGCAGTAGGCACTAGAACCTTCTTCAAGCTCAATTTTTATAAATGGCTTAATAGGAACCAAATGATGTAATGATCTCGCAAGATGTAAAGAAGACACGAGTATGAGGCCACAGCACTTGCACTCTACAGGTAATTCACAATACTTGCTGTTACATTGTGGGCAAAAGAAACCTTTTGCGTTTAATTTGCCACCTTCTGCTAAATGACAGGAGCAAGTGGTGAATGGTGGTTTTTGTTCTAACTCTTGAGGAAAACCCATTTTCACACATGATGCATCAACTGAATTTGGTAGAGGAACAGGTTCCACTAACGACCAAAGAATGTGCTTAAAATGTACATCGTCTACAATTACATTATGTTTGCCTTTAGTTTCATTACACAAATGTCGAAACATCCGTACTTCAGCAGCCAAGTGTATCATTGAAACTCTAATATTATGGGTTTTAAGCATTTCTATAGAAGTATTTATTTCTCCTGGGTCGCACGAACTCAAACTAGATCCAATAATAAGTATTTCTTTACTAGTATGGGAAGGCAACATTTTCATAACTGACAATGCAATTTCTAAAGAGTTTTGCACAGACATCAATCCATTGCAATAATTAAAATCTCCAAATGTTTTTTTCAATTCTTCAAGATGATATTTTCTATTGCCAGACAATTCAGATATACGCTCTGCAGATGAATTTCTTGTAGTTATCAGACCAAGTTGACTAATTGGATTTTGATCAAAATAATCTTGAATGAAATCCTGAAGCAATTTGTAAGTACACAATTGTCTAGTAGGTTTTAAATCCTTTTCAACCATTGAATTGGAACTATCCACAATAACAAACAAATGTCGCATCATGCCCAGACGGACATTAGGCTGCCGAGTTGCCAGTAACCGCTTAGATTTTTCAATAATCTCTTTAACCGACCATTCGACATTTCCTCCTTCATCTTCTTTGACTTCCTCCCATGTTTTTTCATAACCGCCTTCCCAGCGATATTCTTTTACTTCAGTTTCGTCCATTTCAAAAATCTTCTAAAAATGTTATAAGTAAAATGAATTAGACATGCATTTTAAAATTTTTTTTATGCATCAATGTATCAATCTTATATTAGTATTTATAATTATTTGCAATATTTATAAAAAAAATTGTCTTCAAAGAATTTAAAAGACCCAAAAACCAGAGTTCAACCTAAATTATATTGTATTAAAAGCTATAATAATAACAATATTTATATTATATATTTATATAATACATAAAAAATAGTAGGTAACCAACTCAATTCTTTTTTAAAGAACAAAAATTAAATACCTAAATAAATACTAGGTACCTAACTTAACCACATAATTTATATTATAAATAAGATTCAGATTTGAAGGCAAAAGCCTTTTTTTAATAAAATGCTTGTCATTTAATATGTAAGGTTATGAACGTATTTTTTTTTTGTCTTTTTCTCATATAAATGCCTTTATTATGTTTAATTTTCAATTGATTTAATAGTTTTATACACAACATCATATAAACGGTACAGATCGATAAGATTTTCTGAAGACTGCATTGTCGGTTGTTAATTATTTTTAATGGGTTTTATTATCGGCAATATTTAACAATATCACTAAATACTTTATAGAGTATTTGGTATGGCCAGTTAATTTACAGTTTATAAAAGTACCCATACTGCCTATCTATAGATTAAAATAATATGTTCATAATGCGTCAGTCCGCCCCGATTACATTTTCTTTGTACACAAATATTTTAAGCCCAAACCGTCAACATTTTACTAAAGACAGTTTATCTGAGTACATGATAGTGATTTTTTTTTAATACACACTAGTTAAATATGCAATATACAAACAATTTAATTTTTTAGTAAATTTTTTTTGAAATTGCTTTTTTTTGCCTTTTTTGACATTTGAAATGCTTTTTTTTACTGATTATATTGCCTTTAAATCCAAACCCTAATTATAAATTTAACTAATTATAATATCTTATAATACCATTAGAAATTTGGAAAAAGAAAAGAACAAAATTAAAAATTAAAAATTGGATCTTTCACTGAAATTATATTTTCAAAAGCCAAATAAACTAAAAACTCATAATATCAATAGTAAATACTATACAAAATGTCATAAACATTATATTCTATTATACAGGATGATTTTTTTTAACAGTAACTCTCATTAATTACAAAACAACATTTGGAATATTTAGAAAATACTTTTTCAATAATTTTTGAGACGAGATTACTCTTAAAAAAAATTACACAGAATAAGAAAGAAAAATGCATTGTTTACATATTCATATGAATTTTTACTTTCTTAAATTTGATTAATTAATTTTAACTAATTTACTTACAGACAGCACAAATTAAATTAAAATATTATTACTCAACACAATACAAAATAAATGTTGTATATTTTTTTTTTTAAGTCAACTAGGTACCTAAATTGATAATTAATTATTTTAAACAAAATCTTTTAAAGTTAAATAATTATTTTTAATGACACTATAATTAAATTCACTTTTAAAAGAAGGATTGGCAAAGCAAACCGTCGTAAAGCCAAGAAAAGTCAAAAGAGTAAACTGTATAGTGTAAACTAAAAAGTAAACATAATACTTAAGTCTTACGTTATCAATATAAAAAATAAAACATTATCTTTACCGAAATATTTATGAGCTCTTTGAAGAAAACCATGAATAGGGGGATCACTACTAATTGTTCCACAAAATATTTGTTCCACACTATATTTGTTCCAACTACTATTTCATCCTAGTTTTACTATTTGTTCCACAATACACTTGTTCCGATTACTATTTATTCCGCAAAACATTATTCCGATGACTATTTGTTCCGCAAAATATTTGTCCCAATTACTATTTGTTCCAAAAAACGTTTGTTCCAAGTGTTCCTAACCGCTCCGCAAATCGAAAATATCCCCCGACTTGCTGTGCAACACCTCCCCAAGTGGGTCACAGGGTTGAGAAAATTGCATTTTTGTTGCACCGAGCCACCAATTTGAAAAAAACATCGTACAGCGATGCGGTGCTAGCGGCACTCGTCGCTACGCTCCTCGGCGCCGTCGCTCCGCTCCGCAAATCGAAAATATCCCCCGACTTGCTGTGCAACACCTCCCCAAGTGGGTCACAGGGTTAAGAAAATTGTTTTGTGGAACAAATAGTACTTAAAAAAAAATAATTTTTGTTCCAAAAAAAATATTATTAAGATCCACAAATAATTTGTTCCAATTACTATTTGATCCGCAACATATTTGTTCCAATAATTATTTGTTCCACGAAATATTTGTTCCAATTACTATTTGTTCCAAAAACTATTTGCTCCACATTTGGAACAAGTAGTTTGTGGAACAAATAGTAATTGGAACAATTATTTTGTGGAACAAATAATACAGGCCCTGAATAGGGTCAACATTAGCCAATAATGTAAAGGTCTATGGACTTCAACCATAATTCGCAAACCAAACTGCTGATAAGAATTCACGATAGAACAAACCCAAGGTTTATAGATTATACAGGTTGCCTCATAGTCATGTAAACAAAACGTTTCCCCCCGTACCGTTCCTCGTCTACTGACGTCATTGCCGGAACAATCGACTGCCGTAGTGCGGTACAATGTATCATTTACTTATTTTCAACAGTATAATAATTAATAAAATCATTTTTTACATACTTTCTTTTGATTTTGATAACTTAATTATTAAGGAATTATTCATTTGATTTACCAGCTGTTTAATTATATAATAAATAATAATTATCGAATATAATATATTTATTTTTAATACAGTGTAAAATCAGTAACTCGAAGCTCACGGCCCACTGGGGGAAAAAAGTCCGAATTATTAAAAATTTCGAGTTATCAAAACCTTAATGTGTTATTATGTTACTTGAAGGGGAATTTTATTTGTTCGAGATGTCGAGAATTTCTAGTTATTAAGGTTCAAGTTACCTATTGAGAGTACACTGTATATCACAAATAGCTCCTACTATTTAACTAACAGCTATGTTCAGCATGCAATAGGTATATCATTTGGTAGTAAAATAATATGGTAAAAATACTTACAGAAGTTAGTAAAACTACAAAAAGTTCAAACATAATATGTCGTAGGTACCTATTTTGTATTTTTACATGATAAATAAAAATATAAAATTTAACAAAACTAAAATTTGATAAAAACGATTGATCTATTTTTTCTTTCAACAAATATTAATTTGAAGATAGAAAAATCAACTTTCTAAAAAATATTTTACACTTATCTTGCATAATACCAATTGTAATTGACCAATAAATAAAAATGTTGTGCAGGTACAATTAGAAAACTATCAATAAATAAATAAAGACGACAACCAAGAAACCAATCTGCAAGTTGTGTACATACATTTTTAATATTCTTTCATATAAATACAAATATTACAATATAATATAATTCATAATATAATATTATATAATAAAATAATAATAATATAATTATTAGTGAATCACTCTGTATAAATTTTCAAGTCATAAGTTTTCTCAATTTTTGTAGTTCTTGTAACTGTAACTTTGCTTTTCTTTTTGAAGCTAAAATTTGATGATTTTTATTTGCATATTTCATACGAATAAAGATCCTTTGCAGTGGTGTATTGGAGGGTATACGCGGGTATACGTCGTATACCCGGATCCCTATTTTTGGATTTATGCGTATACCTTTAAGAAAATTAGTCTTTTATGGGTATACGCACGCTTCTAATTTATCATCAGACAATTTAGGCATATTATCACCAAACAAAAGTAAAAACTTAAAAATAATAATAATAATAACCTAAATTATATTTAGTTATAATATTTTATTATAACATAAAGTGCACTGGCCAAAAATACTAAAAATAGCCCCGTACCCGCATGAAGTTCGATTAAATTTTACCCGACGTTTTCTTGCGAAGACGATCGGAAACTGCCGAGCAATACAATCAATCAATGAACAATCAATGTACAGCGGTTCCCAAACTGTGAATAAACATACGTAATTTCATTTCAAACTAAATGATAATGACAAATTAGAATAATAATAAAATAATTATTGTTGATGTATTGTGTTATTACTTGTCATCCAATAACCAAATTATAAAATCGAACTATTAGTTTCTCATTATATTAATTCTATTAATTTTGAAATTCTTTTAAATTTGTAAAATATTTTATACAAATAAAATATATATAAATATTTGTATATAAATATATTATAATATTATATGATCGATAATGGATAATAAACGTACCGCTACTTCTACTATATAAGTATTTTACTGTACAATTGTTTTAAAATTTGATAATAAAAAGTTGTATTATTTATGATATATATCATATATGAATTGGGAACAAGTCTAGTTTACCGGGCACATATTTTTTTTGAAATTTTTTTTTTGAAAAGGGTTGTTTTGACGAATTAAGAACGATGGTGCAAAAATAAAATTGCGGAAATGATTATTTTGGAAGTTATAGCTTCCCAAAGTTAACGATTTTACGTTTATAACACTACTGCCTACTATAATGCCGCGCGGAGGACCTCGAGTTTGGCGACCGTTTGGCAACCCTTTTAAAAAAAAATTTCAAAAAAAAAAGGTGCCCGGTAAACTAGACTTATACCATGAAATTGAATTAATTAAAAAAAAAATAATACATTGATACTTGGTACATATTACACACAGTGGAGTATATATGAATTAATTTTATGGTTGTGGGTGAATATAGGGCGAACTAGGGGGCGTATATAGGGGGGTATATACGCCACTGCATATACATATACACATGAAGAGTAAGTGTTTGTAATAAAGTTATAAAAGATTATTAAATACAAAGTGTAATCATTTTTTGAGCGGAGCGAGAAAATTTTTAAGGTAGGTATATCGTATATATAGGTATATACTATATTCAACTACTTTTAGGTGCGTATACCCATAAATTTATTTACCAATACACCACTGATCCTTTGCCTTACAAATGTATGTATAACTGGTCTATACTTTTCTTCAATATCCATTCTATTCATTATTTTATGTAAAAGTTGTTTTACTACACCTGGTCCTTCAGGGATTTTCTGCTTGGTAATTTTTTTAAAAACTCTTTCAGCTCTAAAAATGTGTTTTTTAAAGTTATTACTAGGGACTATTAGGCCACCATATGATAAATAATCAATCCACGAAGGAAGTAGATAGTCATGTTCATGGAACTCATGATTATTGTATATTATACTACTCTAAATTATAAAATTAATATAATTAATCAGCAATTACGTCTAAATTATAGAAATTAAGCATAACGTTTACGCATAAAACATGTTTTTTGCGGTGTGTGCCGGTGTTCGTGTTCCGGCAGTGACGTCAGGAGCGTTATTCCCCCCACTCTCATTTTTTCGTAAATTCAGAAGTGAGGCAACCTGTATTATCTATAAACCTTGGAACAAACCCACAGATATTGAGATTTGAGTATTGAGATAATATCACATAATAATATTATGTACATGAGTACATTGTCAAGAGTATCGAGTATCAACTGAGAAAACGTAAATCTATAAAATTTAGCAAGAAGTTTGTCTATTGTAAATATTTCAGAGGGTATATCGCTTGTTTAATTCAATATTCATAGTCCATAGGGCATAGATACTAGATACTCGGTAGATAGTAGGAATTACTAATTAGAAACTTCAAACTTGTTTAGTTTTGCATTGAATTATTAATTTAAAATGGCTAGTGAAGAATACACTGGTAAACCATACAAAATAATTGATTCAAAGCGTGAACACAAAATTGGTATCGTAGCAACTTCATTGTCTGATTTTATGACTAAAGGTAAAAATATTTTTGTAATGCACCTAATGAATGTACTATGCATTTTATATTTTTACTAAATCTAAAATATTGAAGTATATTGAACAATATTGAAAATAGTATTTAGTTTTAAAATATTATACCTTTGTTTAGCTCAACAAAAACTTAATATAAATGAAAATGAACCTATTAAAGTTGTTCTTGAATCTGATGGCACTGAAATTGATGAGGAAGACTATTTTGACACTTTGGAAACAAATACATTAATTATGATTTTAAAATCTGACCAAAAATGGAGTCCATACGATATAAGGTATAACAAATTATTAAAGTTTTTATTTTATTTACTATGTATAAGTTGTGGAATGTAAATTTGATATATTATTATGTTCTTCTAAATAATCTGGTTAGCAATATAACTACTTCTTAAAATTGGGTGGATAGGAGACTCTTCAAACAGGTTGCAGAAACTGTAATTTCATCCTTAGAACACTGCTTTTTCTCAAATATAATATAACATATAATACATATTATTGTTTAATATAATATGTATTTATTGATTATTGACTACTTTTGGCCACCAATATTATTAACAATGTTGAACATTTTTTTTTAAGTGATTTCAAGAAATCTGATTTGTATAGTACATTTTTTATATGGTTATCTAGTAGGCATCTAGAGAATCTATTTCTAGGTAATCTTAAGATAAGAACTTTTCTTAGATCATATACTATTGACGGGGCCACAGCATATTAAATTAATATAAAAAAACGTTGCCAATATCAGCGACTTCTCTCATATTTATCCACAGATACCTATTGTACCTACGGATAATTATGCTGGGAGTTAATCGATTGTCTAATTCAGTGCCTCGTCGTTATATTGGCAACAAAATCATACCTTGTGGCTCCATCCATAGTATATGATCTAAGGAACTATTCAATTTACGTCTGTTCTACCTACCTACCTCTACCTTAAATGTTATGTTTTCACTCCACTGAGTGTTATAATAACCAAAGTAAAATACTTTTTACATTTTATTTATGCTACCAAATGTCTACATACAATTTTTTTTTTTAAGCTTTAAATTTGCAGACGATCAAATTGATGGCACACAGAGTTTAAACAGTTTGATTCGACGTCTGCAAAACGATATAGGTCAAATAGCATTTTTGAGTGGTTGCGATCTTGAACTTTTATCTGATATGGATCCAGAAAGTTTGGTTGATTTGGCGTTTGATAGGTAGGTAATATTATTTAATCCATCAATTAAAAACCAATTATCTTTTCCTAAATTAATAGAATTCAGACTTATTATGTTTTACTTAGGCCCACTTTCTCGACTTTCTCGACTGTCGGTTAACTAGAAGTCCAGAAAGTGGGCCTTAGTCTTGGAAGTTATAATATAACAGACTTTAGCTTTGTTGTAATATCCTACGTTTTTATAGGTCATTTCTAGATCAAGTTAAAGAAGCTAGTGGACGGTTTCTTTATGAAAAACGTGAAGCTCAAGATGCAATAAATTTGCTCAAACTCTATCATGCCTCGACAATCGGGCAAAATTCAACCAAGAAAAGTAAAGTTTAATACTTAAGTAATAAAAATATTACATTATTAAATACATTTTACAACCCCAACACTTAGTACGTCAGAAATTTAAAAAAGAAAGTTTTAAGTTATTCTCTCACTGTAAAACTATTATAAATAAATAGTTACTTCATAGTCATTAAGTTAGTTTTGTTTGGTTGATAAGCACTACAAAAAATTTAAAAAAAATTGAATACAGAGAAGAGTTGTAATCTTATTCTATTTTATGTATAATGTGTGTGTTTGATTAGTGTTATTATAAAAACTACCAATGATGATAATGTTTTACAGATAATAGATATTAGATTTTATTCACCTGTACTATTGTTTTAGTCATTAAATTAAGAAAAAATAAATGTATCAAAATATTTTAAATGCATGAGTTGATAAAATAAAGTATTACAGAATAATTAACTTAACTATATGAATATACATATATAAATCAACATTAAATTGAATGAATTATTCAAAACAATTTTTTTTATAAAATATTTTTTAATGTCCAACTAAAAATTTTTTTAAAAGCTCTTACTTCTCATTGATATTATTTAGGTAAATAAAATACAAATTGAATTGTCCTATGGTTAAATTTATGATGATAATTTAAAAGTTTTTATAAATTAATAAAAATAATAATTTATTTGCTTAGACCATTGACAGTCCATGTAAACACATTATTTTTACATTTTCATAAAATGCCCATATTACTAATTTAATCAAGTTGTGTTGGTGCTATTTTAAGTCGAAGCAAAATCTTAGTGAAGCTATACCATTTTTCAGTAAAAACATTACTGCAATAAAATAAACGTTTATAATATAATAAATTCAAAAAATTTACCTAACTATATAATTTATTTTATTGTTTCTAAAATCCAAATATAAGAATTTCAATAAATAATATCAAATACCATTATTAATATTGATTTGATAAGTGTAAACTATTATTTTAAAGCATTGTTCCTAATTTAGATAATTTTAAAACAAATTATATTTATCCTGCCAAAAAATAGATTATGAAGACCCCTAACATTATTTTAAAATAAGTCTATAAAAATTTAATTTAAAAAGACAGTGCAACTATCGAAATTTAGATCTGTTTTACACTAATAGTAAAGCTAGTATAAAAAACATTTAAATACGATTAAATGATATATTACCATCAACAAATGCATTTAAAAATAACTTTTAAGTGTTTAAATTTTTCTAATTGTGTAACTCTTGACTTGACTGTTTTATATTTTTATATTGTGTTATTTTATCATCTTCTAGTTTATATGAGATCTATCCTTTTAGTAATCACAAATATATCTGAACTATAAAGCAACATAAAAACATTTTAATTTAAAATTAATATTTAATTGTTTTTTATTTTGATTGCTTTATAATTATTTAAAAAATTTAGGTGGAAGCGTTTTCTTTAATGTTATCAAAAATATGTCAATGCATCTTATGTTGTGTTTTCTCTAATTAATATTGAAATTAAATGTAGTAGTAACGTTAAGTATTGGACCATTGTTTAATAAGGGTAATTATGAGTTAATGTTAAGAAAGAAATTGTATTCAATTTTTTTTGTATGTGTAATAGAATATTGTTACACATTTTTTTTTTAAGCACTGCCATAGGTATTGAAACTAGAAATTAAATTTACTTTAAACAGTTTGGGTATTTATAAAATATCCTCTTGATAGTTAAAATTGTAAATGTATTAGTGGTTTAAAACTTTAAAATGCACAAATCATATTATAATCTTAAAATTGTAATCATTAATTATTTTAACTATTAACTTATTTAGTGCACAGTTATGTATTAAAATATTAAACCAATAAAATTGATGTGTGGATAATAAAATAGAACCGGCAGTCAAAATAATAATTAATTTGTGTTTTATTTTTAATAGTGATCAATATATTATTTAATATCAATTATCAGTAGTTGTCTGGCCCATTAAAGTGTTTTATTATATGGGGGCCAAACATGCATTAATAATATCTTAATGTCTAACTGTGAATTTGTTATTTTGCTTGAGATTATCATTATATTATAATAGTTTATTATTAACCCAATAATCATTAGAATTTAATGTATAGAGGTACTAATGATTTTTACCAGGCAGTAGCATGCTGAACATTTCAAAATCAAATAATTAAGGTCAGCCTACCCAATATTTGTTTTTTTTGGTTTTTTACTTTATTTTATTATCTATATTTATGACATTTTTAACCCTTTCACTACAGACGTACTATTACGTAGCACGCAAATACCGTTCCCTGCTACAGACGTACTATTACGTTCCTTTATCTATAAAACGAAATACGCAGGTTATCACATTAGTGATTACACCGAAAAATGCAGATAACAACTTATGATTCAAGCCATAGACCTATTAATTAAAGTTAAGTAGACACTATAGCTTAGTAATTAATAGGTCTATGATTCAAGTAAATTTTTTTTTTGACATCAATGTATGAATCTATTTAACTAAACTAATCATTTAGGATTATTAAAAAAAAGGTGGCCAAGTGGGTGTCGCTCTGCTGTACAGTATATTACAAGTGGGTCACTAGGTATATAATGGATGATATTAAATTTGAATTCAACGATATAATATCATTGTATAAGAAAAACAATTCTGAGCGGAGACGGTATGTCAGTCTATGTATAAGACATATTATATACATATCTATGGTATTAAACAAAAAATTGACCTATAATAAATTCCAAATTAATCATATCACAATATCCATTAGGTACTTATAACATCAACAAAAACCGTGATACTATCATAGATATATAATAGTACACTTTAGAAGTTTCAAGTACCCACGAATAATATTATTCAATCACAACAAAATAACTAAAATAGTAAAGTTATTCTAGGTTTTTTAATATGTAATTTCGTCCAAATTTGAATTTAAAATGTCTGTAAAAATAACTGTGTTCATATATTTTTTTAGATTTTTTGGTTACAGTATGAACTATTTATGAGAACCTTTGTGTTGAATTTGCAATCCTTAAGCCCGGTCCAGACCAAGAAACATTTGTAGGAAACATATGTTTCTGACATTGTCGTCGACAAATATTTATGTTACCGCTTATGAGCGGAAATCGGAAACATTGTCGATGACAATGTTGGAAACACTTGTTTCCGACAAAATTTTCTTTGGTGTGGATGGGGCTTTAGCTATAAAATCTGAACATTTTATAATTTATTAATTACAATGATTGATAATTTTCGAGATTTTGATAATTTTTTTCAAAATTCAATCTTTAAATGCTTATAAAAAAAAACTGTGCCTATGTATTTTTAATATTTTTCAACTGCTATTGTAACAATATATCAGGAGCCTTGTATTACATTTTTACACTTTTTGGCCCAACAGATAAAACTTTATTGATATTTATAGAAAAAAAACTAAAAAAATTGAAAGCTGTAAATGTCCGTAAACAGGTCAAAAAGAGTCAAAATATTTTCAAAATTGTATGGTGTATAGGAAATGCTAATATAAACATTCAGTGAAATGTTCATGTATCTACAGTTATTCGTTTTTGAATTACAACAATATAAGGAAATCGCTACATGAGAAATCGAGTGAATATTCAATGTTGTAAAAATTTGAATTTCAAACGCTCATAAAAATTTAATTTGACTTTCTTATAGACATTTTTCTTTTGATAAAGGTAGATAATCTTATAAGAAATCTTGTGTTTCATTTTCAAATCTTAGATTTAAAAGAAAAATTTTTACGAATTCTTAACTCAAAATAATTTGCTAATTTTCGTGATTTTTCCATATTTTGTCATTTTTTGAACTTTAAATGTTTATAAAAAAAAATTGTGACTAAGGATTTTTAATATTTTTCATCTGCCTTTGAAACAATATATGAGGAGCCTTCTATTAAATTTTCAAGCTTCCGCAACCAACAAATAAAATTTTATTGATATTTTTAGAAAAAAAACTAAAAAAAAATGGAAAATGAAAATGTCCAAAACAGTTCAAAATAAATCAAAATAATTTGAAAATGTTATCGTGTATAGAAAATGCAAATATAAACAACCAGTGAAAATTTCATGTATATACGTTCATTTGTTTTAGAGTTACACCAAAAACCAAAATCGATTTTTTGGAAAACCGATTTTGCATAAAAATTCCCGTTTTTCCTTAATTTGTATGTTGTTTTTCCCGGCGCTTATGAAAACTACTGTGAAATTTATACTTTTGACCCCCCAAAGTACCAACTAGATTCACTTTCCTATCAGAAAAGCTACTGATGAAGAAAATCCAAGCACTTTTACTGTCCTAAAACATGATGACAGACACAAAAAAAAATTTAAAAAAAACACACATCATTGTAAAATCAATACATTCATCGTTTCACTCTGAATCTAAAATAATTCAGTAGAGATGAATATTTTAGGAAAAAAAAACTTGAAAAGTGAAAATTTTAAGCACACATCCTACCATTTTAAACCTGAGGTAATTATCTCAAAAAAACTTTTGGCACAACATTGTGGCCAGGAACTTCAAACTTAACACGATTCCATTTTAATTTGCTTTCTTCTAGTTTCAGTTGTAGGTATTTTTTTGCATATTTCTCGTTTTGAGTAACGACTTTTTTGTAACATATTAGTTTCTAAAAATAAAAGTGCAGTTTAGCCCAATCTTTCAAATATTGTAATGTACTATATATTTTTATACATGTTTCCAATACCTACCCAGTGGCGTCCGCAGGGGGGGGGGCTAAAGGGCTAATTTCATATATGTCTTACCAGAATGAATTCATTTTTGAAAGAACATTGTAATTGCATACCAATTTTCATACATTATCTGTAATTTTTAGGTAAAAGTATGAACTACTTGTATGAAAGACCTTGTATTAAATTGTCTAGACTTAGCTATATATATTTTATATTTTATAAGTTTTGAACTACAAATTAACTGTCATTTTGACGAAATTTGAACTTTAAATGCTTATAAAAAATAACCATGGTGCCTATGTAG